AATGGAAGAGATTCGGAGAGGTATAAAATTTTTATTTAATAACACATTTTGTGTTTAACAAAATTTATTATAAACAAATATTTGGAAGCCCGATGGGCTCTCCTATCTCTCCGTTATTGGCTGATATTGTAATGGAAGACTTAGAAAAACAGTGCCTGAACATGTTGTGGAATAAATATAAAATTAATCCTGTTTTCTACTATAGATATGTTGATGATACTTTGATGTGTGTTCCGAAAGATAAAATTGATTTAGTTATCGAGACGTTCAATTCTTATCATAATAAACTACAATTTACGTTTGAAATTGAAATGAATAATTTTATTCCATTTCTCGACTTAAAATTGATCAGAAATAATGATAAATTTGAATTTGACTGGTTTAGAAAAACAACACAAACTGACAGAATTTTAAATTTTAACTCAGAACATACAATTCATCAAAAAGTCAATGTAGTTTCAAATATAGTTGACCGGGTGTTTTTACTTGCTGACAAGAAATTTCGTTCACGCAATTTAAAAATAGTTACGAATATCCTGAAAAAGAATAATTATCCATCTAAATTTATCAAAAAACACATACACAAACGGATTAACAAATATAAAAAAGGGAAGAATGATTCTAAAAAAACAATAAATCAAAACCTACCTACAGAGGCTCTTCCAAATAATTACAACATCTTTGAAAAATGTTCTTCTGTGGTAAAATCTGCCTTTTCCGCTCTTCTGTTTTTCTTTTTCTTTCTTAGTTTCTTTTTCGACTTCTTTATTGGCTTACTTTCTTTTGCCTTTTCACCTTTGCCTTCTTTTGCTTTAGCTCTCCTTCTTGCTAATCATTTCTCTTGTCTTTCTCCTTATTAGGGCTTTGACACCTTTTTCTCATTTCCTATTGCTCTCTCTGCCTTTTATTTCCTAATCTTACTCATAATCCTTACTATCTTTATATTTCTCTTCTTGTTTTCCTTTTTCTTTCTCTTCTTTACCATTTTTACTCCATCATCCAATACCTGCTTCCTCTCGCTTGTGTAGTTGCTAGTACGTGTGTTTTGTGTGTGTGTGTGTGTGTGTGTGTATATGTGTATGTTTGCGTGGTTGTGCGTATTTTGTGTGTACGTATGTGTGCGTATGTAGATGTGTCTGCGAGTCTTATGTCTCGTCTTCTGTTTCCGTCTGTCCTTATGGACTTGTAATTTGGTCTTCTTGTTTCTCCTTTTCTCTCTCCTCTTTGTTTCTTCTTCTTTTCCATTTTAGCTCCATCATCCACGCTATCTTTTTTTTGCTTCCTATTATTATTTTTTCCCATTCTTCCCCTTCCTTTTTACTTTTTTCACATTGTTCTACTATGTGCTTCCAATTTTCTTCCTCTTTTATACACATTCTGCATCTCTTATTTTCTTCTTTTTCCCAATACCTGCTTCCTCTCGTTTCGTTACCTAACCTAAACCTTTCCCTTATTTGTAGGCCTTTTATTCTTCCCTCTACTTGAATTTCCTCTAATCTATACTTTTTCATTTCTTCTTTCAGTTCTTTCCACTCGTTTATGTATCTTGACTTTTCTAGCTTTTCTTTTAGTTATTTTTCTTCTTTTTTCTTTAGCTCTTCTCTTATTTCTTCCCAAAACTCTTCTCTCATTTTGTCTCAGTCTTTCTCTCTCTGTATATTTTACTGTTTTTTAGCCTTTCCTCTCTCTCCTCCTTAGCCTTTTAATCTTATTCATTTCTTTCCCTTTTCTTTAGTTCTGTCCATACTCCTCTTTTTATTGACCCATCTCTTTCTTCTCTTATTTTGTATTCATACCTCATTGCTCTTTCTAATCCTGTTTCTTTCATTTCTTGTCTTCCTGTTTCCCATCGTATTAAGTAACTTGGCGTGTTTCTATTTTATCCTAATACCCACTTTATGTATTTTAGTTGTAATCTCTCATTTTCTTCATATCTCTTCTATCCCCATATTTCTACTACATACATAATCACACTTTTCGCCAGTGCGTCGAACAGGTTTCTCCTTAACTCCCAATTTTCTCTAAATAGCTTTTCTCCTAGCCCCCATAGTCTTCCGAGTCCCATATTTATTTTCCCTTCTACCTTCTTTATCTGCTTTTTATTTCCATTATATCTGCTTATAACATATTCCAAATAGTTGTACTCTTTAACCATCTCTATCTTCTCACCTTCCCATTCGAATTCTTCTTCTTCCCCCTTCCTCCTCCTCTCCTGCATTTTATCATCGTTGATTTTCCTATATTTAGTCCTAATCCCCTTTCTTCCAGGTATTTGTTTAATTTTTTCAGCATCGCTTTCATTCCACTTTCACTCTTTGCCATCATCACTATATCATCTGCATATCCTAATATCCATATTTTCTTCCTTCCTATCACTACCCCTCCTTCTTGCCTGTGATCTTCACTTTCAGGTCGGCGAAGGCAAGATTAAATAGCGTGGTGCTCAAAGGGCACCCTTGCCTTACGTCTTTGTAAGTCTCAAACTCCCCAATTATTTCTTCTCCAACTTTTACCTTATTCCCTGTTTTCTTACATATTTCTTCTATTCTTTTCCTGATTTTCACATTCATTTATTTGTTTTATTTTCCGTTTCTCTTTCATGATTTCCCATATTTTCTTCCTCTTTATCTTGTCAAAAGCGGCCTTCATGTTGACAAAGAATACGTAGAGTTTTTATACTTTTTCCCTTATTTCCTTTTCTATTATTGTTTTTAATATATAGATATATTGCGTCCATTGTTCCTCTTTTCTTCCTGAATCCCATCTGCGTATCGCTGAGCGTTTCTTTTGCTTCTAGTTCTCTTTCAAGCTTTTTCTTCAGTACTTTCGCATATATTTTATATCCCGTGTCCATCAACGTTATTCCTCTATAGTTTTTTACTTCTTCTTTCCTTCTTTTCTTATATATTGGTACTATTATTCCCTTCCTCCATTCTTCCGGGTATCCTTCTTCGTTCCATATTCTGTTTAAGCATTTTGTCATATCTTTTAACAAGCCTTCCGTACCTTCCATCCGCGCTCCATTTGCTATACCATCTTCTCCTGTCGCCCTTTTCTTTTTTATTTTTCTTATTACCTCTTCTACTTCTTTTACTTTGATTTCTTCACCTTCCTCTCCTTCGCTGTCTTCGGTTTCTTCTCCTTTGCTTTCTTCCTTTTCTTTCTCTTCCAATTATCCCTTGAAGTGCTTTAACCATTCTTCTTTTCTTATATTTTCATCTAATCCAATTCTTTTCTTCCTATTGTAATTCACTTTATCCCAGAATTTTCTTCTCGTCTTATCTTTTTTTATTTCTTATGCCACTCTTTTCTCCTCAGCTTCTTTCACTTTTCTTATTTCCTCTCTGTATTCTTTCTTTGCTTCAAGGTATTTGCCCCGCTTTCCTTCCCCTTTTCTTACCGTATTTAACTCTGCCATCATCCTAGCTCTTTTTATCGTACATTCTTCTCTCCACCAGCTTTTTTTTTATCCTTTTTTTTCCCTTACTCTCTCTTTTATTTGTACCCTTTTTATCGACTCATCACCTTCCTCGTTACCTACTACATAATCTATCGTGGACATTCCTCTCGCTCCTATATATGTTATTTCTCCCTCTTTATCTCATTGTTTTCTCCCATTCGTTATCACTAAACCCATTTCTCCTAGCCATTTTATCATTTCTTCTCTTTCTGCTTTTAACACTTTATCTTTGGCCTTTATTTCTTCTAGGTTTTCTTCTGTCTCCCATTCTCACACTTCATTTCCTGTTCTTGCGTTGAAGTCTCCTCCTATAATTATTGTTTTTCCTCTGTTCTCCTTTATCTCTTCGCTTAGGTATTCATAGTTTTCCTTTTTCTCATGTTGGATATACACCGTTGCTATCATGTATTTCCTCTCTCCGATCTTTATTTCTCCTGCTATTATTTCACTTTTCCTTTCTTTCTTCCGTTCAACCTTACTCATCGCTTTCTTCACTCTTACCGCCATTATTCCTACACTATTTCTCTTCCCCTTCTTCCTTCCCTTCTTAAGTCTCTGCTCTCTATGTTATAACTTTTCAGTTGCTTCTCCATCCCAGTTTTTTTCCTTGCCTGTTCACCCAAGTTTCCTTTAGCCCTATTATATCGAATACCCTAATATTTTCCCAGACGTCTTCCTCCATGCTCCTAATCCCCGCCACGTTCCAGAATAGAATCTTTACTGCCTCTTTTCCCTCTCTCTTCCCTCCCTCCTCTCTCTGTTTTTTCTTGAAAGATGCACCGGTGCACTTGTTCGGCGACAGCAAAATTGTGCAGAAATGGCTTCAAAAACATCCGTGCCATTGGAAAACGTTTGTCGCGAACAGGGTATCGTTCGTACAAACTGAACTGCCTTTAGCTATGTGGTCACACGTTGGATCGGCTGAAAATCCAGCTGACTTAGCTACTCGCGGCGTTACGCCCTTACAATTACAATCCGAAGTGTTGTGGTGGTACGGACCCGAATGGCTCAAAACTCCCGTGCACAAATGGCCTTAGCTCCCTAAGGCAGTGCAAACCCTGCGAGTTAGACCGAAAGTCATTGAGCCTGAAATCCTATCGCGCTATTCTGATTTGAAACGATTGATGCGGATCGTTGGGTGGTGCTTGCGGTCATCGTTGCAGCGTACGCGAAGTAAGGCTGACCAATGCTCGTATCCTTGAAAGTGGCTTACAGTAGCCGAAATTGACAATGCTCAAAATACGCTTATCAAGCTTGCGCAAGCTCACGCGTTCTCAGCTGAGCTTGATTTTCTACGAAAAGGTAGAGCGTTGCCTAAACATCACTCGTTACAACGAATGAATCCATACCTCGGTTACGACGATATCTTGCGTGTTGGCGGGCGGTTGAGCAATGCAAATTTACCGTATCATTTGACTATCCGCCTATATTACGTCGAGCTTCCGCACTTAGTAAATTAATTCTTCAAAACGTACATGAGAAAGCGTTGCATGGTGGATCTACCCTTACAATAAGTTTTTTATTGCGATATATATGGGTTATGGATATGCAACCACTGGTCAAGACTGCTGTATGGAAATGCGTTAATTGTCAAAGACATAAACCTCGTTTGGCCCGTCAACTTATGGGTAATCTTTCGGCTGTTCGTGTTACTCCGAACGGGCTGTTTGTTGCTGCTGATTTGGACTACACTGGACCTTTCAACTTGCGCATTTCAAAAGGACGAGGACAAAAGTCTTTACAAGGTTACATCGCGCTATTTATATGCCTCAACACCAAAGCAATTTATCTGGAGGCTGTCGGTGATTTAACCTCGGCTACTTTCTTGCTGGCACTTCGTCGCTTTCTTAATGCGCAAGGCAACTGCACACACCTTTACAATGACAACAGGACAACCGTTCGTGGCGCGGACGCCGAGCTTCGAGCCATGTTTTGCGATACTTCAGCTTTTTATGCAGACGTCGCTCCTAAATTAACTGAAAATGGCATCTCTTGGACGTTCATTCCCCCTACTACACCACATTATGGAGGTATATGAGAAGCTGGGATTAAATTCACAAAAACTTGCTAAAGAAGACTATCGGGGAGCATAAGCTGACATTCGAGGAATTCTCCATTGTTCTGTCGGACATCAAAACGTGTTTGAATTCACGACCTTTACAGTATATTTACATTCTACATAATAATCTAGTTAAATTTTAAGCATCATCAAAGTATCTACTTTTGTACCAAGCATATTTAAATACGTTTTTGAATCTAGGTGAAGATAACACAGGCCAACAAGGTTTCAGAACCAGAGACCAGACATAGTACACCCGAAGGATTTTGGTGCGCTGAATCCAAATCCGAGCTCAGAATTGCGCCAGCACGTCAGGATTTTGAAATATCCTAACCTAAAAGTGCGAAAATCACGTATTTTGGCTATATTCGGTACCTTATAACATTGTGAATAAATTTTTTCATGCAAAACTGACAACGGCATCTGAAAGAGCAACTCTTGGCCGACAAAATGCATTACCGATTTTTTTATGTCTTTTTCCAGCAGAGATACCGTCAATTGAAACGTGCCATTTATCAATTGATTTATACTGGAGTATGAAAAATCATGATTTTTTTTCAATCTTCAGTAGTAGGAAAAACTTACACTGGCATATAAAGGTCTACCATTGTACTAATTTACGGCGAACCTAGCTGAATTTATTAGATGCACTCTAAAATGGCAGCTATAAATTTAGGGCAGGCTAAGGCAGATGGTTATGACCTAAATGCACTGAAAATCCTACAACTCTAGAACCAGCGACAGATTAACTTAAGTGCGCTATGACCTGCAAGCTCAAAACCTTGACAGGAATGCCTAAGTGCTTTATAGCATACACTCAGTTTAAAACCACGACAAGTTAACCTAAGCGCTCTATGACCCGCGAGAGGTTAAGCTAAGTACGTTATAATACGTGGCTGGTTGACTCAAGTGCGCTATAACCTGCAAGCTCAAAATCACGGCAAGTTAACCTAAATTCGCTATAACCTGTTACAAGTTAATTTAAGCGCGCTATAATCCGCAACAGGTATATTGAGTACGATATAACTTGCAAACTAGAATCCACGACAGTCTAACCTATATGCGCAGTAACCTTCGAGCTCTAGACCACTACAGGTGAACTTACGTTCGCTATGATATGCGAGCGCTAAACTCACAACAGGTTAAACTAAATACAGTGAACAGTGAGGGTCAAGCACAGGACAAATTAATTTAAGTGGACTGTAATCCATAGCATTTCCTAAGCTCCAGTGTAGTTAGAGAGGTTACACTAAGAAGCTGACAATCTTTAGAATGTATATTCTTAAACCTATAACCGCGAATTCTGTGATGTTATGCTTTCAAACGATCGTTGAAGAGATTTACGTTTGTGACTAGTAGGGTTATTATCATCCCTTTTCAATGACCAGCAGTAGTCGGCCATCATTTTTTCGTCCCATCTTCTTTGGTAGTGTTGTTCCTTTTGTTTAAAGTCTTGGTGAAATCGTTCACCCATCTCCTCACTATATGCTCCAAGATTTTCTGGGAAATAGTCCGAATGAGAATGAAGGAAGTGTATTTTAAGGCTCATTAGACAACCCATTTTTCGGAAATTCTGTAACATGTTGGACACAATAGTTTCAAACTGCGGGTCTCGATTATTGCCTAAAAATTTTTCTGTAACATCTTTGAAGCTCAACCAAGCATTCTTTTCAACGAGAGTCATGGTTTCGATAAATGTATCATCTTTCATGAGTTTTCGTATATCAGGCCCAACGAAAATGCCTTCCTTAATTTTTGCATCACTCAATTTCGGAAATGTGGCTTTCAAATGATTGAAACATTTACCTTCTTTATTCAATGCTTTCACAAACTGTTTCATTAAACCTAATTTGATGTGAAGTGGTGGCAGTAATACTCTCTCTCTATCAACAAGACCTACGTAGGTGACACTATGAGAACCTATTTTCCATTCTGGTCTTGTGGGCCATTTTTTTGTTACCCAATGTTTATCTCTTGCACGGCTGTCCCAAAGGCAAAGGAAACACGGAAATTTGGTATTTCCCGACTGCAAGCCAACTATAAGATTTATCATCTTAAAGTCACCACAAACAAGCCAATTGTGAGTCTTGTAATTTATTTTTTCCAGTAGAAATTGAAAACTATTGTATGATTCTTTTAGTGCAGTTGAGTGACCTACAGGAAGTGCCGCATACTTATTTCCGTTGTGTAGTAACACAACTTTGAGACTTTGTGTGGAAGAATCAATGAAGAGACGCCAGTTTTCTGGCTTGTACAAATCTTGGATATACAAGTTAACCAATTCTTCGATGTTATTACAGTACACCATCACATCCTCCATTGTAAAGTACTTTATGAACGCCTCTTCACGGTTTCTGTAAATTGACACTTTTGTTCCAGGTAATAATAGCTTCCTTTCTTGGAGTCTTGAAGCACAGAGTTCAGCTTTATCCTTTGGAAGATTGAAGTCTCGAATAAAATCATCTAACGAACTTTGGTCAAACAACTTAGGACTCTCGTCATCAGAACTATCTTCAAAAGAGACATCTTCAGTTGTATCAATATCCAACCAACTTCTTTTCCGGGTTTACTTACTTTTCCTACTTTAACTGGTGTTACACTCGTTACCGCAGGGTAGATGATTTTATTTGAATTTTGTTTATTGAAACCCGTTGTATTACATAAGCAAAAGTAACAATCAGTTTCATGGTCCTTGGGCTCACGCCAGATGGTCGGTTCAATAACAGTCATATTGCTGCTATTATCATCCCACTTCAACATAACAATTCTGCAAGAATTACAAATTGAAGATGGTACCCATGTCTTATCTAAATTGTCGATCGGAACCTTATAACATTTCATATATAGAGTTTTGATTGAATCATTAATCGATCGTCGATAAGAAGTTGTTTCAAACTTCCCACAAACATAACAAAATGTATCAATTTTCCTTGCACAAGGGCTTCTGGAACTCATTTTTCTTATAATAAATAACAAAGAGGATAAAAAATGTTCTTATGATAAATATTCTTATAATAAATAAAGTATAAGAAAATAAGATAATAGCATTTACAGGAAATTCAAGCGTTAGCCCGCCACTCAAACGTGATCTCTAACACGGAAGGATTAGCATGTCACAAAATCAGTTATCTCAGCTTTCACCTATCTCAGCTTCACTATACAATCATACATTTCAAGTTACGTAATATTCTACATCATCTATCTACAGAATTTCAAAAACGAATGAAAGATTTCACGGTTTTTGATTCCGCTGATCGTATCAGATATCAGATTTTCAAAACTTATTTTATTCAAGCAATTTGTTTAAACAAATTTTTGCACAATTGAATATTTTTGCAAGTTGCACCTCATTTCCATGGTTTTAGGGGTCACTGATTACGAGTTTGATGTTAGATTTGTGAATTTAGATTTATTCAAACAATTTATTTAAACAAATGTTGCAAGACTCAATGTTTTTGCAAGTTGCACATACTTTTGCTGAATTTTGAGGTCGCTGGTTATGAATCTGATATCAGATTTACAAAATGTGTTTTATTTAAGCCACTTGTTTAAACAAAGTTCTGAAAATTGAATATTTTTGCAAGTTGCACCTCATTTCCATGGTTTTAGGGGTCACTGATTACGAGTTTGATGTTAGATTTGTGAATTTAGATTTATTTAAACAATTTATATAAACAAATGTTGCAAGTTTCAATGTTTTTACAAGTTGCACGTACTTTTGCTGATTTTTGAGGTCTCTGGTTATGAATCTGATATCAGATTTGCAAAATGTATTTTATTTAAAAAATTTCTTTAAACAAATTCCTGTATAATAGAATATTTTTGCAAGCTGCACCACATTTCCATGGTTTTGGGGGTTACTAGTCACCAGTTTGATGGCAGATTTGTACATTTAAATTTATTTAAACAAATTATTTAAATTTTTAATTCTAATATTTGTCTGTCTGTCACAGGCCGACAAACTTCAGAACCAAAAACTATACATAATGCACCGGAAGAATTTCGATGCGCTAAATCCAAATCCCAGCTTAGAATTGCGCCAGCACGTCAGTATTCCGAGATATTCTAGAAGGCTATGTCTGCGTGGCCATAACCCTAAATCCGTTAACCCAAAAACCCCCGATTCCTTAATCTTTAACTGCCCCCTTAACCTTAAATCCGTTAACGCTGTAGCCCTGAAACCTGTGATGATATAACCCTCGATGCCGTTACGCAAATCCCAGTAATTTGCGCCACAAGGAATCTAGGGCTATTGTATCGCAGGTTACAGGATTCCGAGGTGAAGAAATTCGGGGTTAAGTTGGCAAGTTTTATTGCCGCGCTTGTTATATCCTTTTTGGGTTAAAATATTTGGCGTTAAGGGGACGGGGATTATTGCATCGAAGGTCACAGGACTCGGGGGTTAAGGGATTTAGGGTAAGTGGGCAAGGTTTATTGCCCCGCAGGTTACAATGCTCCAAGATCAGAGATTTGAGTTATAATAGTCGAAATTCATTGCGTTGCCGTATAAACCAATTGATAAGTAGTACATTTCAATTGACGATAAAAGAATATATACTCTTCGATATACTCAACGGGTTTTCATTTTATAAATAGTTCGGCTGCGCGGTGTTCGCTGCAGTTTCGTAAGGCAGCTGTTGTGGTTTTCCTACTTTACGACTAAAAGCCGATCATGCATTTTCCCCACTTTACGATCAGACGCCGATAGTATGATTTCCCCACTTGAGGCTACAAGCGCTTAGATGTGGACCGTTGTCGTAAACAGGGGACTATTGATTTTACTGGTATTCATTTATAAGTAATTATGAGCTACGCACTTCTTTCAAATAAACATCCGCAACACTATGCGTAGTCGATGATATTGATTTTACTACTGATTCGACTGTCTTTATACCTTTTACATTGAATGTTCTGCCAGTATCCATTTCTAAATTGAATACACATAGATCAGAACCATATATACGTATTACTTGCTTTTT